GCACTTGTCAAACGACGGGAAGGAAGGCACGTCCTTCTTTGCGCGAGACGGAAGCGATTGCCGCGGCTTCGCCTTGGGCTCTCCACCGGCAGTTTCGGTTAGCAGCTTGGCCGGGAGCACCGGCAGCACGCGTGACCGCAGGCGCTCCGCGTCCGCCCCGGAGAGGACGAGCCGCAGTGTGCCGTTGGCGGCGCGATCGTCAAACAGGTCCCTCACCTTGGCCATGTCCACATTCAGCGTGAGCGTGCCTGGCTGATCGAACGCCACGCCGCTCAGGCGGAACTTGAGGGGCGGGCCGTGCTGCGCCTGCTGCGCCTCGAAGAGTGGCCCTCCCTCCTGCGCCAAGACTTCGATCGCGCCTCGATTGCCAAAGAAAACCTCGCACGACGCCCCGCCGCTGGCGCCCTTGATGCGGCAGCCGAACGCTGACGAGATGCGCGCCGTGACGGGAGTGACCGCCGTCGAGTGAGCAGCGTTGAAGGCGCTCAGACAGCGGAAGGCGGTCTGCACAAACTCAGGGCCGTGGCCGAGGGCGAACTGCGAGCCAAAGAGCCCACCGATGACGTCTCGCGCCCGCTTGCCAAGACTGACGAGAAGGTCGACGAGCCGAAGCTGCAGACCGAGCGAGGCGGCGCGCATCAGCACCCCCTCCGCTCCCTGAAGCAGCGCGGCGCACGAGGAGTCTTCGCCCGCGTCGGCGTGGAACTTGGCCTTGCACGCCTTGGTCTGTTCGCGCATGGCATCTGCAGGGCAGAGAGGCGAGGAGGCTCGCGCATTCGAGCGGGCGCAGGGCGGAGGGCATCGGGCGCAGGGGCGGAGGGCATCTGCAGGGCAGAGAGGCGAGGAGGCTCGCGCATTCGAGCGGGCGCAGGGCGGAGGGCATCGGGCGCAGGGGCGGAGGGCATCTGCAGGGCAGAGAGGCGAGGAGGCTCGCGCATTCGAGCGGGCGCAGGGGCGGAGGGCATCTGCAGGGCAGAGAGGCGAGGAGGCTCGCGCATTCGAGCGGGCGCAGGGGCGGAGGCCGAGGGACGCGTGGGCGGACAGCGCACGGTTGATCAGGTCGGCCGACAGCTCCTGCGCCTCCGGGTGCAGGTCGGTGGACATGACGATGTCGACCTGTGTCGACGGGGGAGGCGTGAGGTGAGAGCAGCGAGCGCCGACGTGGCGGTCCGGAGCGGCGTGCGAGGTGCGCGCCAGCGAGTGCAGATGCTCTACACACGCCTCGGCCAGAGGGACGGGCAGCGAGTCCGATGCGCTGAGGAGGACGTCGAGCGTGCTGTAGAGGAGGCCATCGTCCGGATCGAGCGCCTTGGCGCTCTCCGAGGGCGCCCACAGCGTCACGTTGTCGGAGAGGTAGGTGAAGAGGTTGTCGAAGACCTGCACGGGGCGAGGGCCGAGGCGAGGAGATGCAGAGCCTAGACCGCGGTGGGGAAATCGGCGCGCGCGCGCCTTGTCGGAGAGCAGCGTCTGTGCCTGATCCGCCTCGGCGGCGCGCTTGGCCACCTCCGTCAGCAGCCGCTCGAACGCGACAACGTCCTTCTTCTTTGCGATACCCGCCTCGGGCTGAGCGGCGAGGAGGTTGGCGAGGGCGTTTTTGGCCTGCGGTCGAGCGAGTGGGAGAGGCGGCGAGTGGGCGAAGCTACGGCAAGGCATCTCTCTACCGGCCGGGCACGGCAAGGCAGGCTTCTTTACGAGCGACTTCAGGACAGCGTTCACCGGCATCAGACGCTCGCAAGCCCCCGGAATAAAACTCGAGGCCAGCCTTCCTTCTGCGGCTCTGTCTTTTCTACTGCCCGCGGTCTGTCTCTTCTACTGCCCCCGGTCTGTCTCTTCTACTGCCCCCGGTCTGTCTCTTGCTACTAGCAGCTCTCTCCACCGACCCACCGACCCACCGTGCTCTGAACGCGATACGCAAGAAGAGGGTGGCTCGATTCGACATTTCGTGTCTCACACCTCTCTCTGACCAGCTCTCTCAATATGTGCCCTCTCATACGTCGTGGCTTTGTCAAAAGTCGAGGCTGGCCCATTAGACAAAAACAAACAAAACGGAAAGAATGGCAATGGTCGGCGCCTTCACCTGCAGGATCTCTCAGCCTCGCACGGGCGAGCATGGCGGAGAGCGCTCGCCACCGGCCGACGTCGCTGTCACCGCCTCGAGCGCCCCCTGCGGGTGCCGCGGGGGGAAGGCCTTGTCGTATAGCAGTGCGACCACCCGTTCCTGCGACGGGGTGCGGAGAGGGCGGCTCATGCTTCCTTCCCTAACTCGTCCAGCCGGGACACATCTATCGTCGCGCCTGCGACAGCAGCAGCTCGAGGACCCGTTCGCGGTCGCCAGGCGAGAAGGAAGCGACCGCCACCTCGCGGCCGGAACCCGGCCTGCGATGCCAGCCCAGAGGCATCACTACGTCCCTCGAGGGTACATGACGAATACCGTGGCAGACAGCGTGAGTACGAAACATGGTCTCGAGGGTACAAGGTACAACGATACAGTGTCGTCTCTCAGCATCTAGGTCTCCTGCCTGCCCGCGCCGCCCGCACGCTCGCCCGACCGGTGCGCCGAGATCTCGCGTCGCACGTCCTCTGCGCAGGCGCGAAGCAAACCCTCGAGCTCGGTGCGCGCCTGAGTAAAATGAGAACGAGGTGAACTCTAGCGAGACGGGCCCCGGTCCCACACACAGCTCCGCGGAGGGAACGCCTGCAAGTCTCGCGCGTGTGCCGTGCGGACGGCCCGCAAGTTGCGGCGCTCCACCTTGAGTAGAAGTGAGTGCGGTGTGAATTTACACGTGTGAAGAAGGATGGCGTGAAGAGCTGCTCGCCTCGAGTAGCCGCTTTAGTTTTGCAGTCATCTCTGCGGCGGAGGTGCAGGTGGGGTGTGGGGTTGGAGCGGGGCCGGGGGCGGGGGTGGGTTGGGCCGGATGTAGAGTGGGGAGACGTGGCAACGAGCGTGTCGGGAGACACAGGAGCGCTCACCGCGGTACCTCGCCTCCGCCTCGGCCTGCCTCTGCACGAGCTCCTTGAGTCGCCGACTCGATGCGGCATCCGTCTCACCCTCCGTGGCCGCGGGGGCGACGCCACCGCCCCAAGACGAGGAGGGGCGCGAAGGAGAGGCGGCCTCTGCGTGCACTAGGCTACTTCCCGCAGCCTCTGCCTCCGCCGCCTCCGCCGCCACCGCAGCCGCCGCCGCCGCCTCGCCCGCGGCGCCCGAGAGCTCCTCTAGCTCTTGACGGAGCCTCGCATTTTCCTTCTTGACGGCGAGGCTCTGGCGAACCTATTCGTGACAAGAGCTGTGAGGACACGCCACCCACGGCTTAGTGCCTGCTCCTACCGAGGCGTTGGCGCACGAGAAGCTCATGGTCCTTCTCCTGCGAGCGGAGCTGCGCCTTGAGACGGCTCGCCTCGGACTGTAGCTGCTGATTGACTCGATCGAGCCGCAGCGCCTCCTCGCGCGACCAGTCAAGCTCCTATTCGCAGTAGAAGGAGAAGAGGCAGTGCTAGCGCGACCAACCAAGCTCCCTCCGGTCCCGAAGCGGGATATGCAGTGGCGAGAGCAATCGAAGAGTGTGGAGGAGAGGCGGGCGGAGAGGGCGCTGGGCGGAGGGTGGGCGCGTCGCTCCTTGCCAAGCGAGCGGCTCCGTTCAATCCACTCTACTGCGCCGTCGTCCTTCTTGGACCGCTCCCTCTCGAGCTCGAGCTGCACGTCGTACAGCCGCGCACGAAATGCGCGGAGCAAGTCGCGCTCCTGCTCGGCAAGAACGCTCGCGGTCCGCTGCTTGAGCGAGGCCACCCCATCGAGCACCCGTCGGTGCGTCGAGCGAAGCGTCTCGATGCCTGCCCCAGCGCCCTGCCGGTCAGCCTAAGGTGTGGTAAGGCAGACGTTCACAATATTTACGCAGCGTGCGTGTTGGGTGTGTGTGGGTGAAGGCAAGTGTGCGAGCATGTATCGTTGTTTTGTGCCGCTTGGACCTGCTGCTGGTCGAGCTCGGCGCGTAGCCGCTCGAGCTCGCGCTCGTACCGCTCCTCGCGCCGCCGCGCCCACTCCCCCTGCCGCCGCGACTCCGCTCGCAGCCGCTCGTTCTCCACACGCTCTGCGTGGAGCTCTGCAGCAACAGCGGCCCCGTCCACAGCCGCCGCCGCGGGCGAGGGAGGGGCAAGCGGAGGGGTCGCAGCGGCGGAGCCGCGCCGCGCCCCAGCCGACGACCCGCCGCGACGCTGCGGCGACCTGCCGTCCTCCGAATCCAGCGGTGATGGCAGGGACGCGGGCGGCATTGTGTCGGGCGCAGTTCCGTAACGTCGTGAGACGTGAGAGTCCGGAGGTGATCTTCATCTTAGTCGGGTTGACACACAGACGTCCTCCTCCGGGAATGTAGTACGGAGACACATACACTGAGAGAGAGAGAGAAGACAATAACAACAGGGCGCCCCTGAAATTGGGTCGTGTTTACTCCTCCTGCTTGCTCTCTGCAGCCTTGCGCTTGAGCAGCATGCGGCAGATATTGCCCAGGGCGAGGGCGAAGGTGAGCGCCCCGCCCGCGACAAGGCCCTGCTCCAAGGCGGTGCCCTCACCGTCAATCATGCCGCGAACGCGAGAGCCGATGAGGACGTTGACGCAGAGGCGGAGGAAGCCGAGGGCGGTGGCGGCGATGTATGTGCCGAAGGGCACGGCGGGGATGGAGCCCAGGAATAGGTTGCTCGGCGCGAACGGCAGCGGCGTGAGCCGCAGCAGCAGCAGCGTCGTAAAGCCGCCGTCGGCGAGCGCGCCTTGCAGCATCGTGAGCTTCTGCGGTATGCGCCGGCGCAGTGACGCTGGCATGCGACGGCCGAGGAAGAAGCCGAGGGATGCGCCGGCCAGCGCGGCGGGATAGACGACGCCGAAGCCGAGCGTCACGCCAAAGAGGGAGCCAGCGCCAAGGACGAGGACGTTGAACGCCGGCAGCGGAATCATCCCGGAGACGACGAGGGACAGTGCGTACACGGGCGCGGCAAAGGGCCCGAGCGACTGAACGGCGCTATCCAGCATAGCCAGCTTGGCGGATACAGAGCCCAGCATATCGCACCAGGTCAGTGTGCTGGTGTGCGTTGTTGTTGGTACGGTGTCGTGGGCGCGGCTGACAATGCGACCCGAAGCTAAGGGGCGAGAAGAAAACGCGAGCGCGCACGAGGAGCCCTTGAAGAATGGGGCGCCGCAGGTGGAGACCGAACCGTTGGTGGCCGAAGGACATCTACCCTTATAAGTCTCTCGTCTACCCTTATAAGTCTCTCGTGTCCGCGCCGACGCTCTTTTAACGTAGAACGTCCCAGCCGAAATCCGCCCGCCGACGATCGATCAGTCCACAATCGTCGGCCCGCAGCGACCCGCAGCGATGGATGCCGCCGCCCCCCCGGCCCCTGCGGCTGACGCGCCGATGCACGACCGGCCTCCGTCGGATGGCTCTCCGGCCTCTCCGGCCGCTGACGCGGCCGCCCATGCTGCTGCCGATCCGGTCCCTCTCACGCTCAGCGATATCCGCACAAGCTACGACAACTTCGAGGTCGCCGGCTTTGGCCAGGTGCAGCCACCACCTGCTTGCCTCCATGTTCACGCTTCGCCCCCCCCTCCCCCCCCGCCCCCCCCCCTTCTGACGCCGCCGTCTGACCTTAGGTGAGGGGCACGACTACCCGCCTGGAAGGCGCTCTCATCAGCAAGTCAATTGCAAACTGTCCCGCCATGCCCACCTACTCCCTCGCCCGCACCGAGTGCGTGATCGACGCCTTCGTCGGCGATCTGCCCTGGCCATCTGGCTGCGGGCCTGCGCTCATCGTGCGGACGGTCGACGACGGTCTCCACTACGCTCTCACCCCGGAGGACGTGGAGAAAGCGTTGTCCAAAGCTGCCTGGAAGCGCGCCCAAATGGAGCTGCGCATTCTCCAGCTTCGTGCGCGTGTCGGAGCCGGCTTCTCCACTGTGCCCCGACTGGAGACCGAGCCGCCGACGGTTGGGACAGGCCGCTCCGCGCTTCATCGGGAGCTGTACCAACTTGAGAAGTTTGTCTGGCTCTCGACGCGGCTCGGCCAACCTTGGCATGGGGCGTTGGACCAGCTCGACACCGATTTTCACAGCGCCCGACACGCCTTCCGCCGTGAACGCCGGCAGCAGCAGGCTGCATGTGTGGAATGCGTGGGCCGCAACGCCGCCGACCTCTTCGCTTGGAACAGCTCGGCGCACGAGAAGGCGACGCCCGTGTCGATTGGGAAGATGGGCGAGTGCGTGTGCGGGGCGACCGGATGCGGCTGCGAGACCCGCTACATGTGCACGCACTGCGGCGCCTTGCTCTTCCCAAAGGAGGCGAAGCGGGCCAAGGCAGTTGGTCAGTACGGGACCAAATGGCAAGGCGGCAAGTTTTGCTGCAGCGGAGGGCAAGTCGACCTGCCGCCGATCCAGCGCGACGAGGCCGTCGATGCCGTTTGGGAGCGCAATCCCGAGCTGCTGGCGAAGCATTCTCGCCGACTCAACAACGCGCTGTCGATTGCGTCAGCACCTGTGAACATCCTCCGTCCTCCAGACGGCGGCTGGGCCCCGAGCGTGGTGATCCAAGGCAAGCTCCACCACAAAGTTGGGCCACTCGGTGTTGGCGAGCACGAGACGCCTCGATTCGCGCAGCTTTACGTCTACGATCCGGCTGCCGAGGGTGACAGGATTGTGGACCAGCGCTACGCCGCGTTGCGGATGGACCCGGAGACGTCGAGCGCGGAGAAGGCAAGGCTGAAGGCCGCGCTGCGCGACCTTGAAAGCGCGCTCAAGGACTGCAGCTCATACGGCGCCAGCTGCCCTCCGGTCCCTGTCTTGCCCTAACCCTAACCCTAACCACCACTCACCTCTCCGACCTGTTCGCAGTACAAGACTTCATGACGGCTGGCGAGATCTTCGCGCAGGAAGGCGCGACGACGGCCCAGTTTGTCATCGACCCGGACAAGGCGCCTGCGAACGTTGACCAGCGCCAGTACTCTTCAAACTACGGCAAGCGCACCTTCAACGAGGTGAGACCACGCCACCTCACCCCTGCCCTTGCGCCGCTGCTGCCCTTGCGGCCGCCACCCTCACAGCTGCCCGCCCTCGCCGCCTTCCTCTCTCGCCGCCCCGCCGCTTTGGTGCCCGTTGCCCTCACCGCCGCCGCACCCTCGCCGCCACCCTCGCCGCTACCCTCGCCGCCGCCCGTTGCCCGAGCCGCCGCCGCCCGCTCCGCCGCCACACCTGGATGCACCTAGGTGCAGCACCCACCTGCTTGCCTCCATGTTCACGCTTCGCGCCCCTTCCCCCCCTCTGACGCCGCCGTATGGCCGTAGGTGAGGGGCACGACTACCCGCCTGGAAGGCGCTCTCATCAGCAAGTCACCCAGGCACCAACTCCTGGGCGTTTACGCTTGACTACGAAACCATGCAGTGGATGCAGCTCGATCAAAACGGCGACGCCAACAGCTGGTCCCTGGGCGAGTTCCTCGCCCAGGATGAGGTGCGAGTCATGATGCTCGACCCAGCGTGCACCAAGTCGCTCACATTCCGTGAGTTCGTCAACGGGCCGATCATCTCTCCAAGTCGACTGCGATCTCGGACTCCGACAACTGGACTGGTGCACCAGCCGCGGAGGACGATGGCTCCCTCGACGACATCCCTTCATCGACGGACGCCTTCACCGCCGCCGGCCCTGGGCCATCCAGCGCGGCCTCCGACGGCCTGCACGTGATCGAGGTACAGAAACGGTGGCTGCCGCAGCTCACACCCTAATCTATCTGCCTTAGGCCCCCCTGCCAACGGAGCCATCGCGCATGCCCGCATCGCGTGCGGCTCCGAGGTCTCCCGCCGAGACCGGCTCGGCGCGGCGCGTGGCCGCACGCCGCCGTTGAAAAGGCGAGATAGGACCGAGGGAGAGCGCCAGCCACATCGAGCGAGCGCTGACGTGTAAGGTGTCTGTGCTGCTCCGGTGTGTGTGGGATTCTGCCTCCCCCCCATCTGTGCGGCGAGTTGTTTGCGGCGCGATGCCCGATCGTGCGCGATAGCCTCCCATTGTGCGTGGTGTGTCGGTGTGTCGGGGTCGTCCGGAGCGTGTGGCGGCGCCGTTGCATGCAGCGACTGCTCCACGTGCCACGACTGCTTTGACTGACGTGACTGACTGTGATGAGACATGAGAGCTGATGCGTGATGGATGATCTCCGACAACCCAATCCCAAAACCAAAATGTGGCCCACTTTGGCGTGCAGATCCTGGTTCCTGCGTCTCTCACTGCCCGAACAACAGAGAGACGGGAACCGCCGCAGGTCCCACACTAGTTTGAAAAACACTTGTTTATGATGTACACTTGTTTATCCCCGGACGGACAATGCGCACGTCCTTGTGCCGACCTGCCGGCTGCTCTTCCATCTGGCTGCTGCGACGCACCGCCCGCTACTCCTCGAGCCTGCGCGTCGTCGCAATCAACGACGTCTACGAGCTTCACGCGCTGCCTCGGCTCAAGTCGCTGATCAATGAGCGCAAGCCGCAAATCGTCTCGCTGGTGTGGCGGCGGCCGCCGCCCGGCCGATCGCTGCGTGGCTGCCGCGTCAACCCTCGTGCGCTCGGGTTACAGGCGGGCGACTTTCTCTCTCCCAGCATCCTCTCCGGCATGGACCAGGGCTCGAGCATGATCGCAACGCTCAACTGCCTCCCGGTGACGCACGCGTGCTTTGGCAACCACGAGGCGGACTTCCAGCTCGAAGACGTCGCCCTGTGAGCAATCCTAGAGGACTGGAGCATGGCCCTTGAGCCGCACGGCGGCGCCCGCTCTGCTGACACAAGAGCCCCACACAACGCCAAGTCGCCGCGTGCCGGCAGGCCAACTCAGTGGTGCCCACGAGAGACGTGAGCGGCGGCTCCGCATATATGAGCGGTTACCTCGGGGCCCCGCCGTCGCCTCACGCAGGCGCATCTCCGAGTTCGGCGGCTGTTGGATCAACAGCAATGTACCCGGCTTTAACGAGGCCTATGCGTCGGCCTCTCGCCGGCTTGGCGGGCCGGAGGCGAGCCGAGATTGCGCCGAGACGCGCCGAGATCACGCCGAGCTTGCGCTGCGATTGAGAGGAGATCAAAGGGAGACCGACGCCTCTGCGGGCCGCAGGGCTTCAAGCCGCAGCTGCCTCTCTGGGACGTGGTCGAGGTCGGCCCCTACCGGATCGGGGTGCTCGGTCTGCTCACGAGCGAGCGCGGCATCTTCCGAAAGGACAAGATGCGCGGCCTCGCCATCGAGCCGGTCGGCGCGATGGCCGAGCGGCTGGCCGCCCTGCTCCGCTCCGAGCACGGGGCCACCCACGTCATCGCACTGACGCACCAGACGGTCGGTGAGGGCGTCGAGCGTCAGGAGCGGCGCCTCCGCGACATGCGCGTGACGCGTGCGCGGCGAGACCCTCTCAGGCGCAGACGTGGAGCTCGCCAAGAGCGGCTCCGTCGACCTGATCCTCGGTGGCCATGACCACGAGGTGATGGAGGTGCGGCCAGAGGGCGGCGCGCCAATCATCAAGTCGGGCTCGGACGCGAAAATCGCCGCCGTCCTCGACATCGAGCTCGGGCCGAGCCGAGCGCTGACTGCAAGCGTCGCCTTCGAGCCGGTCGAGGGTTTCGCAGCCGACCCCGAGGTGCAGGCGGAGGTCGACTCTCACCTGGCGGTGATCCGCGCGCTCGAGAAGGAGCCCATGTGCTCGCTCAAGGACTCGGAGGTGCTCGAGCGGCAGCAGGCGGCCCTCTCCTCCAAGCGCACGCGATTCGAGCAGACGACGGTGGGCGCGCTCCTCACCTCATGCGTGCGCGACTGCCTCG